TGGCGCGGAAATTACTAACCCGGAAAAGGGAAAAGCTAGAAAGCTGAAACTTTATGGGAATGCTCCGTACTCTTGTACGAGTAACATCGGGTGTTTAGAAGCGCCCAGGCCCACATACGGACATGTGAAAATTTTGGCGCGAAAACTACTAACCCAGGAACGGGAAAGGCTAGAAAGCTGAAACTTTAAGGGAATGTTCCCTGCTCATGTACGAGCAGAATCAGGTGTTTAGAAGCGCCCGAGCGCATGTACGAGCGCGTGGAAATTTTGGCGCGAAAATCACTAGCCCAGGAACGAAAAAAGCTAAAAAGCTGAAACTTTAGGGTTATATTTCCTATCTATGTATGACCAAAAAATTTTAAATTCAGCTCCTTAAAACCGTCTGGTACTCACGTACAGGCATATGAAAATTTTGATGGGAAAACTGCTAACTCGGGAAAAGTTCGAAGCTTTAATTTTAAGGGTATGTTCCCTATTCACGTGCCACTGAAAGGTTTCAAATTTAACTCTTCTAGTGTGGCCTTTTTTGGGGACCAGCACGTTTCCATTTTCCGGGTCACTGAACCCGGCATCTACAACTGACATAGCACATAGTTGCACAATTAACTTCCCGAACTTCGAGGGCCAGTATGTCACAGGTTTAGCTACTGTGATTCCCTGTGATCTTGCTACGACACGAAAAGTGCAAAAACGCATAATCGCACCGGCCAGCCTGGTGCGTTCCAGCCTGGGTTTTTAGACTGATGCCGATCACTCGTTACAACTATTCGAATAAATAGCGGCGCGCACCAGAGGAGCCAGTGCGATCATGCGTTTTGTGCAATTCCGTCCACCGAATGATTAACTGCTAATGATTTTCACTGCTTTGCACTATGGTCTGTACAGAAGTAGTTAAAAAGTTGTCTGTTTCCTAAGCTGCGGAATTTCTCAATAAAAATTTCACACACCGATACGTGAAAGCTGAATTTGAAAGCTCGAAGGATGAATATCCTTCAGCCTTCTAATTTTCTCACCTTCAAGTGATTTTTGCGACAAAACTTTCACGTGTTCGTGCGTGAGAGCTCACATGCTTAGGAACTAAATTTGAGTTTGTGAAGCTCCTGCTTAGGAAAAAAAATCCTCTGAAACTTTCGGCCTCATTGCTCTTCTGGCTTCAGAAATAATTTTTCTCGCCAAAAATTCCACGGTGAAGTTGGAAATTTGCGAAGTCTTATGTGGGCAGGGTATGCCACGTTGAAATTTCAGCCTTCTAGCTTTTGAAGTTCACGAGATAACAATTTTCCTCCCAAAACTTTCACGGGGCCGTACGTGGTGCCCAGGAGTGCGTGAAGGCTGAGTCTAAATTTGCAAAACCGTATGTTGATAAAGGATATCACCCTAAAATCTCAGATCCCCAACTCCCGCGCTTCCCGAGATAATAATTTTCCTCGCCGAAACTTTCACGAGGCCATAAGTGATACCTGGGCATGCAGGAAGGCTGAATTTAAATCTGCGAGATTATGTGGGGGAGACGTTACCGCAAAATTTCAACTTCTTGGCTTCTATGGTTCACGAGATAATAATTTACCCGCCAAATTTTTCACAGGGTCGTAGGTGGCACTCGAGGACGTGAGAACGCTGAATTTGAGTTTGCGGGGTCGTACATGGGCAGGAGGTCATTACCCTGAAATTCCAGCATCCTAGATTCCGTGGTTCCTGAAATAATAATTTGCCCGTCAAAACTTCACGGGGTCGTACGGATTACCCGTGGGTACGGGAAGACTGGATTTAAATTTGCGGGGTCACACGTCGGTGCGAAACACTCTACTAAAGTTTCAGCCGCCTAGCTTTTGTGGTTCCCGAGTTGAAAGTGCGGGACAAAACGAACTCGGACACACACACACAAACCCAGTGACAATATGCGTTTTGTACTATTGTTACACAGCACAAAATCTATAAGAAGCAGTTCCTCTACGATCCGTTTCGACGGTAAATTGCTACAGAAGCATTCCGGGAAATCAGAACCTCAGTCAGATGCTTCTGATTATCCCTTGAAAGAGAGGACCATCGACAACGTTATCTGGAATAAGCTCGAGCTACTTTAAAGCACCTTTGCACTTGACAAAAACTGAGCTGTGGAAAAATGTGCCAGCGTTTGATTTCTGGCAATAATTGATTTTCAAAATATGCAGCTTGCTGATATGAAACCTGTGGTATTGGTTGCGATCGTGTATATTCATAGCCATCTGGATTCAGGCACGGAAATATGTATATATTGAGAGATTTTAGATATTTCGTTATGACTGGATCCTTACCGAAACCAGAGACCAACTAAAAATTTCTGGCAGTTAGCCAATATCTTCGTGTATTTTCATCTTCCTAATTTTAGATCCAGAATCTTATAACAGACATCAAAAAATCAAACTGTTTTTAAGTCTTAAAAAAGCACTAAAAATTGAAAGTTTGAATGAGTAAACTGAATGCGCGAAAACGATGTGCCTGGTTGATGAAATAGAGCGCTGTGTGGCTTGAAGCCCATTCTCGAGCGTGGATGTTGCCATCAATCCAGAAGGCCCGCTTGCTTGTATCGTGTATTGGATAACCGATCTGATAAAGTAAGCCATTTCCTAATTTTTTTTTGCTTGATAGTTCTTGTTATGTTATGCTACCACTGTGATTAACTAAGATCAATTAAGAGTTTAACCCAAAATGGGGTTGATTAGATCCTGACCAAATTAAAGTCTTAATTTGCATACGGTTTTCCAAATTTAACTGTGCTTGAAGCTGTGACAAATAAAATAGAAAGTGAAGTGATAGAAGAAATATGCCAATGAGGAGCTGCTGGTAGACTTTTGATAGATCTAAGACAGCGTAGGTTTTTTGCCAAAAACAATGGGGCTGCGTCAGTTTTGTAAGACGATTATGTGGCTAATTTTAAGGATTATTTGTAAGAATCTTTTTCAGTGCTTCAAAGTACGCTTTAGTAACTACGATTATTTCAATATGAAAAAACTTAACTTTTTAAAAATCGCAAAATTTCGACTTCTACTTCGTGAGAAAAAATTGAAAAATCCCGCGTTTTTACATATGATAACATATAGCTTTCACTTTTCGCAATTTCAAACTCCAAGAATAACCTTCAGTCCTTCGATAGGAGCATCTTCGTGCGAGAGCCCGATTCGGATAAGTTTCGTAATGTGTGGGTAATAAAACTCAATTGTCCGCATGTATTTTAACATATCTTTATATGAACCGTAGTCGCCAAAATGATACTTGGCTTTCAGTTCACCAATTTTATTTAACGATTCCTCTGGAAGAGAAATGATTGTGAATGGTTGTGAATAATTTGCATACACCTTGGCTTCCTCAAACTTTCTTTACAGACCAAATTATTATCTTTCCAGAAATGAATTCGGGATAGACAATAAATACAAATAGTTCATGTACAGAATGGCTAGGGTGGACGATACTCCATGGGTATATCCCGATAACAAGATAAACTTTTAACGAATACTCCAGACAGCCTTGCAGACCTTACAAATAAAGCTGCGCAACTTTTGCATTTTTCTAACTTTAATCTCAAATCTGAAAAAATGGAAGCCTCGTTTTTGTTTACTTTCTCCTCTGCTTCCTAACACGCTTTCGCTGCACACGATATTTAGATTGGTTCCTTATCTCATCGCAATATTCTATGAGGAGCACCTGAAAGAATCAAAAATTTCATCTTAGTCTTATCAAAAATTAGAAATTTAAAATTTTTTAGGTCCTAAAGCATATTGAGGCATCGTTATGAAGTCATAGAAAGAAGGCTGCTTGATAAAAATGTGCCAGGAATTTTTCAACACTCGGATACGTTGAGTAAGAACATTAAAAAAACTGAATTCAGTCTGTTTTTTGTGGGAAAGCAAGCAGCGTATCAAGGTAACGCCTATGATGCTAAGGTATGTGAACTAGTTTTAAATCCAGTACGGTTAGAAATGACATTGATCAGACTGATGTAATGGTGCAAACCGGCGCCATCGGCTTCTTCGTCCAGGATTGGATCATCTTTCGAACGGGCAAAAAATGATTCCAATAAATTGTTGCGCTGTTTCGTCGTTTTTGTAGCGTCATTCGCATTTCTCGGATACACTTCATTACGTTCAATTAGGCTAAAAATTATAACATACATTCTTCAGCTCAGTGACATGGCCAACGATTTACCGCAG